TGTCTTGATCCCAGATCCTGTATTTTTAGTATACCATGTAAAATGATGAACTCTGAGAAGACTGGGGGTCGGTGGGGATCAGACAAAGGGAGGATGAAGGCAGGTGTTGAAGGTGAGCAAGTGTTTACCTGGAGTCAAGGGGGGAGAAGCATTTCAGGTGGGAACAAATGGCTGAACAGGTCATACGTTTGAAATTTGGAATCAAGACGGGACAGGACCTGCGTACTAAATTTCTCCCAGTAGAAAGACCAATGAAAGTAAATTTGCCTGACAGGGTGAGGAAAGTAAGGAATTAGAGGAACTAAGGCTGAGGGGAGAGCGGTGAAAGGCTTTGACTCACAGGATGGAGATTTTAGCTTTGAGTTGTCAATCCATAAAATGTTTTTGATAGCCTTGTATGTAGTTGCTGGCATGGTATGTTTATGTACTGTAATGAAGGATTTTGGCCCTAAGGGGTGAGGTGACATCATCAAAGCAACACTTGGGAATGGGAGGCTGACTTGGATCAACCTAACAGGCAAGAAAGGTTGGAAGGTGGAATGGCCTAAGGACGAAGGCCCTAAGATTTTGATTAAGGGATCTAAGGATTGGGAAGTCTGAGATAAGTGGACAAATCAGCAATGGACATTTACTTGACCTCTGGAAAGGAGTGAGTAGAAATAAAGTTTTTGTGTGGAAGATGAGGGGTAAAGATAGGTTAATAATAAGCAGATCTGTCTAAGTTGAATTATTAGGTGTGTAGTTAAAAATAATTTGCCCTCACACAGAAGCAAACAAAAGGAACAAGATCTCTCTTAGTCCGATGGGCCCAATACACTGTTGTGAAGAGAAATGCAAGGTCACCAGTTCTCCCAACTGAGCATAGCCCGGCTCTCTTCCTCTTCAATGTGTCACAGGCAGAAAGAGAGGAAGACGGGGGAAGGCTGTGTCATCTTTTTTTAAAACCGTCCTTCCTGGTCTTCAGCATCTCTCAGAGTGCAGCTAATTGTGCACAATGCATGCATGTCTGTCTTGGCCTTACCTCTCTTATTCCATCTTGTCTGAAGCCCATGTAACCTCACCTTCCACACCTGTTGCTCTGACAGCACCACATCCTTCAGGTCATAGCCTTTAGCTATTTTATAGTACATATCATTCATTCCCTTTACAGTTGTTCATGTGTGCCTGCTATGTGTCAGTACATTCACATTGCTCAGTAAACCAATAGTGAAATAGGTGGAAATGAAAGAGCCAGAATCATGAACTTTACTGTGAAGTCCTTGGGGGTCTGTGGTGTTGGTTATTGGGTTCGGCTGTATCTGATAAAGCCTTCAAAGAAAGGACTTAAGCAAAGTAGACATTTGTTTTTCGTGCACATAAAAGTGAGCCAGACATGGCAGATCTCGGCTCTACCTCTCTTATTGCTCCAATGTTCCTAGGCTGTTGCCCTCATAGGCCTGGTCCAGGATGACTTGCTCCCACGTTTACATCCAACTGTCAGGAAGGGGGAAAATGTGTGACCTGAAAGTTGCTGTGTCATTACCAGTCAGAACTTAGTCACTTGGTGATACCCTGGCTATAAGGTCGGGTTGGAAATGGGCTTCTTTTGGGCAGTTATGCCCAGCTGAAAGTCTATTACTATAGCGGGAGGGGAAAACGAATATTGCGGAGCAGCCAGTCATCCCGGGGACTTTGGTACTGCACAGTACTTAGCCCTGTGGCTTATCCATAAGGTCTGACAAAATTATTTTCATTGGTTCTTTATCTGAAAGAATGAAGGTCCTGGGTTCACCTGCTGTTGTGGCAATAAGATGAACCTTAAGAGGTTATTTGCAGAAATGTTAACTTTTTATCTAGGCAGTAAATGGGAAAGAAAGTATTAGTACACATCTATTACAATGATAACATGACTTTTAATCTATATTTATAACTTGTTTTTCAACAGTCTGCAAAAAACTAAGAAGTGGCAAGACTCCTTTTGTTGCTGTCTGATACTGTGCATATTAAAAGAGAGGCGTAATTCCTGTAGTTTAAGGGGTAGAGGCAGACAGTCAGGCTGTTCTGTTGACTAAGATTTTGATTAAGGGATCTAAGGATTGGGAAGTCTGAGATAAGTGGACAAATCAGCAATGGACATTTACTTGACCTCTGGAAAGGAGTGAGTAGAAATAAAGTTTTTGTGTGGAAGATGAGGGGTAAAGATAGGTTAATAATAAGCAGATCTGTCTAAGTTGAATTATTAGGTGTGTAGTTAAAAATAATTTGCCCTCACACAGAAGCAAACAAAAGGAACAAGATCTCTCTTAGTCCGATGGGCCCAATACACTGTTGTGAAGAGAAATGCAAGGTCACCAGTTCTCCCAACTGAGCATAGCCCGGCTCTCTTCCTCTTCAATGTGTCACAGGCAGAAAGAGAGGAAGACGAGGGAAGGCTGTGTCATCTTTTTTTAAAACCGTCCTTCCTGGTCTTCAGCATCTCTCAGAGTGCAGCTAATTGTGCACAATGCATGCATGTCTGTCTTGGCCTTACCTCTCTTATTCCATCTTGTCTGAAGCCCATGTAACCTCACCTTCCACACCTGTTGCTCTGACAGCACCACATCCTTCAGGTCATAGCCTTTAGCTATTTTATAGTACATATCATTCATTCCCTTTACAGTTGTTCATGTGTGCCTGCTATGTGTCAGTACATTCACATTGCTCAGTAAACCAATAGTGAAATAGGTGGAAATGAAAGAGCCAGAATCATGAACTTTACTGTGAAGTCCTTGGGGGTCCATGGTGTTGGTTATTGGGTTCGGCTGTATCTGATAAAGCCTTCAAAGAAAGGACTTAAGCAAAGTAGACATTTGTTTTTCGTGCACATAAAAGTGAGCCAGACATGGCAGATCTCGGCTCTACCTCTCTTATTGCTCCAATGTTCCTAGGCTGTTGCCCTCATAGGCCTGGTCCAGGATGACTTGCTCCCACGTTTACATCCAACTGTCAGGAAGGGGGAAAATGTGTGACCTGAAAGTTGCTGTGTCATTACCAGTCAGAACTTAGTCACTTGGTGATACCCTGGCTATAAGGTCGGGTTGGAAATGGGCTTCTTTTGGGCAGTTATGCCCAGCTGAAAGTCTATTACTATAGCGGGAGGGGAAAACGAATATTGCGGAGCAGCCAGTCATCCCGGGGACTTTGGTACTGCACAGTACTTAGCCCTGTGGCTTATCCATAAGGTCTGACAAAATTATTTTCATTGGTTCTTTATCTGAAAGAATGAAGGTCCTGGGTTCACCTGCTGTTGTGGCAATAAGATGAACCTTAAGAGGTTATTTGCAGAAATGTTAACTTTTTATCTAGGCAGTAAATGGGAAAGAAAGTATTAGTACACATCTATTACAATGATAACATGACTTTTAATCTATATTTATAACTTGTTTTTCAACAGTCTGCAAAAAACTAAGAAGTGGCAAGACTCCTTTTGTTGCTGTCTGATACTGTGCATATTAAAAGAGAGGCGTAATTCCTGTAGTTTAAGGGGTAGAGGCAGACAGTCAGGCTGTTCTGTTGACATTGCTGTGATCATGCAGCCTTCAACGCTTCCCTGGGACAGCAAGCTTCCCTGGGACAGCAAGCTTCCCTGGGGACAGCAAGCACTTGCAGGGAAGAGCAATTGGGGACAGCAGTTTGGGGACCATACTTGTGATTTTGGCCATATCTGCCTGCCTGAACTATACTTAATATTTGTCCTTCAATTACTTTAAATTGATTTCTTAAAACAGCCTCCTTCTAAGCAGTAATCCATTCAGATGTGTTTTTTGTCCTAATATACGTTGAAACACATAATTATTAAAATGAAAAAATGTCCTTTTAACTAACAGAAAACATCTCCTTTAATACCAGTGGTGTGTACTCACACTTAGGGAAATAGTGCTTTGCTTCATTCCCTAGGCTCCACTGGCAGTTTTTTGTAAACTTTACATAAATCCATAGCTACTAAGTGGCTCTGAATTTCAAAGAATTAATATCTTTATACTTTCAGCTCTGGTAGGGAAACTAGTTAGTGCTTAGTTTTGAGCTAAAGAATTAATTGCCTCTTAAGCTTTGACTAGATTGTTAAGAGTACTGTACAAATCATAGCAGCCCAAAGATCTCTTTAAGCTTTTCACCAGAACATGTTGGGCGAGATGCTTAACTTTTGTAAGGCTTAGTTTCCTTTTTTTTTAAATGGGGCAATATTTTCACCTCATAGGGTTGTTCTGAGGATTAAATAAAATGTGTATAAAAGGCTTGGCTGTGCATGCACCTTTTCCACTGTTGATGGACATCTGTGTTGTTTCCAGTTTTGGACTATTTTGAATAAAGCTTGAATATTCTTGTGGGGTTTTTTTGGTGGACATAAGCATTTATTTCTCTTAGGTGTATACCTAGGAGTAGAATTGCTGGACCATAGGTGTGTTTGGTTTTAGAATACACTGCCAAGGTTTTCCCCAAGTAGTTGTATTCCCATCAGTTGTACCTTGTCTTCTCCCATAGTTGATATTGTCAGCCTTAGATCTTAGCTGTTCTGATGGGGAGGTAGTGGCATTATGGTTTAAATTATGTTTTAAATTTACATGTCTTTGATAAGTAATATTATGGAAGCACCTTTTCATATTATTGACCATTTGGATATCCTTTTTTTAATAAAATTCCTGTTCACAGTCTTTTGCTGGCTACTCTTTTAAAAATTGGAATATTTGTCTTTTTCTTGTGGATTTCTATATTGATTCTGTAATGAGACCTTTGGATATATAGTATTTTCTCACAATACCTATATTGTGAGAAAGATATAGCCCATGGCTTGCATCTTTACTCTCTTAATGGTGTCTTCTTTTAATGAACAAAAATTCTTATTTTTTATTGAAATCTAATTTGTCATGTTTTTCTTTCATGCTCAGAGCTTTTGTGCCCTGTTTAAGAAATTTTCTATCTTCCTATGTTCAAAAATACATTAAAAAATACGTGAACCTAATTTTTTCTCTACAACAATATAGGTGATACCATGGAGAGTGGAAAGCCTGGTCCAGTACAGGTTGTTTTGGTTCAGAAAGACCAGCATTCTTTTGAGCTAGAAGAGAAAGCTTTGGCCAGCATCCTCTTGCAGGACCGCATCCGAGACCTTGATGTAGTGGTGGTGTCAGTGGCTGGTGCCTTCCGAAAGGGCAAGTCCTTCCTTCTTGACTTTATGCTACGATACTTATATTTCCAGGTAAGATAGAATTACTTCAGATTAGAAAATGAGATTTTTATGTCCAAAAAAGCAAAGTAATCTCATGGATTATCCTTGATGTGTAAAGTTACTCAAAAGTTAAGGTCTAATGGACATTGTTTGTTTCTCCTCTAGAAGGAAGGTGGCCATTCAAACTGGTTGGGTGACCCGGAAGAACCATTAACAGGATTTTCATGGAGAGGGGGCTCTGACCCAGAAACCACTGGGATTCAGATCTGGAGTGAAGTTTTCACTGTGGAGAAGCCAGGTGGGAAGAAGGTAAGGAAGAAAAAGGTTACAGATTAACAAACAAAGCAAAATGAGAACTTTATTGTATAACTGATATTCCAATTAAAATTATTTTTATCAAGATGATATAAGTCCATGGTTTAAAAATAATGTATGAATATAGTTTAACAGGTCAAATGGTAACATAAGACTTTTAATCAAAAGAGCTGTCTAGTACCCTATTCCTCCTGCTGCTCAGTTTTACTTCCCAGAAGCTAATGATTGCAACTCTTTTAGATGTTACTTCTGTTCCTTACTTTCCTACTTCTGTGTGGGTGACATAGACCTGGGTGCCTTTGTTTTGGTAGCTGAGCATAGAAAGGGCCCTAGGGGGGTCTCCCAGTTCAGATGGTGAGCATTCAGTCCCCCTAGCTATCAATATAATATGGAATGAATGCCATACTAATAAGCAGTTCCTTAGAAGTTAACCAAATAAAAGTTTAGCATGATTGTCTTATTTTTTTTTTAATATACTTGGTGAGATTTTAGTTTAGAACCTACCTGGTGTAAGAAGTAGATAACTCATTTTACTTTTTAATTAAAAGCAACATTATTAAACCCTTTGAACTGTTATGTAGTAATCATATGAGTAGATCATTTTATTTACTAATTTCCCTACTGGGCATTAAGGTTGTTTACTTTTTTTCCTCTTTATAATATTTGCTACAGTGAACAACCTGATAAATGTCTCCTTGAATAAGTATGCAAGTGTAAGTGTGTTTCCAGGCCCCAGTTTTTTTAACTGTGTTCATAACCCATTAAGGGTAGAGAAATCAATTTATTGGCTTGTGACCAGTATTTAAAAAAGAAAGAATTAGAACAGTGTAGGAAATATCAGAGTGCAGTACATAAACAAATTTAGTTTTAGCTGTAGGTATGTATTTGGTCATGATGTAAAATATATTTCTTACTGTGGGTTCCAGTCAAAAACATTAGAAAACCACCCAGAAGTGGAATTGCTGGGTCTGAGAATGCCCATTTCTCCCTTTATTAGCTACTGCCAGATTGTTCTTGAAAGTGGTTATGGCGTTTCACCGTTCTGCTGTGGCATGTAAGAATGCCAAATATCCAGAACTTTATCTAAGTGTACATATGATTCCTTTTCCTCAAGAGCCTCTCTTTGATGTTTCCCCTTGTCTCCTCTAGTCTCATTTTTCTAGTTAGCAAATACATGTCATGATTAGCTCTTTTTCATTGAGGTATAATTCACATCAAGGTAAAGTTCAGCCTTTAAAAGCATATAATTTAGCAGTCTTCCTTATACTCACAAGCCTGGGCAAGTATCATCCCCATCTAACCCAGAACATTTCATCCCCCTGTAAGAAACCCACTACTCAATTGGCACTTGTTACCCATCGCCCTTCCTACCGCCCCCTGGCCACTGCTGACCTCCTTTCCTTCTCCACATATTAGTTTGCCATTTCATACAAATGGGGTCCTCTAATATGTGGTCCTTGTGTCTGGCCTCCCCCACCCTGCCCAGTGCCCTCAAGGCCCACCCCTGATGTAGTATGCATCAGTACTTCATTCTTTTCCATATGAGTGAAAAATGTTCCATTGTTTGAATATGCCACATTTTGCTTATTCATTCATCAGTTGAAGGACAATTGAATTATTTCTACTTTTTGACTATTATGAATAATGTTGCCACTGAGCATTTGTGAACAAGTTTATCTGTAAACATGTATTTTCTTTTTCTTTGTTTTTATTGTGGTTAGAACACTTAACATAGATCTACCCTCTTAAATTTTTAAGTGCACAATATATATTGTTAACTATAGGCACTCTGTTGTACAGCAGATCTCTAGAGCTCTTTGTCTTGCATAGCTGGAACTTTAAACTGCCCCCTCTTCCCAGGCCCTGGCAACCACCATTCTGTGTTTCTCTGAGTTCGGCTATTTTGGATACCTCACATAAGTGGAATAAAGCAGTTTTTGTCCTTCTGTGACTAGCTTACCTCATTTAGCCTAGTATCCTCCAGGTTCATCTGTGCTGTTGCATATGGCAGGATGTCCTTTTTTAAGGCTGAATAGTATCCCATTATATGTATATACCACATTTTCTCTATCCATTCATCAGTCTGTGGACATGTAGTTTGCTTACATATCTTGGCCTATGGGCATAGTGCTGCAGTGAATACAGGAATGCCGGTATCTCCTTGAGATCCCGATCTGAATTCTTTCAGATATACACCCAGAAGTGGGATTGTCAGATCATAAGGTTGTTTTGTTTTTAAGTTTTTGAGGGATCTCCATAGCAGCCATACCATTTTGTATTTCCACCAACAGTGTACAATACTTTTTCAACACTTATCTCTTGTTTTTTTTATAATAGTCATTTTAATAGGTGTGAGATGGTATCTCATTCTAGTTTTGATTTGTATTTTCCTAATGATGAATACCTCTTCTTTTTTTCTTTTTTTTTCTTTTGGTATCATTAATCTACAATTACATTGATGAGTACCTTTTTATATACCTGTTGGCCATTTGTATTCTTCTTTGGAGAAATGTCTATTCAAGTCCTTTGCCCATTTAAAAATTTTTAATTGGGTTATTTTTATTTTTGTTATTATTTTTGCTACTGATTTGTAGAGTAAGCAAGCATCTGTTTTCAGTTCTCCTGGGTATAGACCTAGGAGTGGAGTTTCTGGGTAACATGGCAACTCCATATTTGACATTTTGAAAAACTGCCTAATTGCTCTCCAAAGCAGCTGTACCACCCTACATTTTCACCAGCAATACAGGAGGCTGGAGTCAGCCACATCCTTGCCACACCTGGTAATTGTCATTGTGATTTGAGCCAGCCTAGAGCCAGGCTACTAAGTGTGAAGTGGCGTCTCATTGTGGTTTTGATTTGCGTTTGCATTTCTCTAATGACCAAGGATGTTGAGAGTCTTTTCACATACTTACTAGCTGTTTGCCTATTTTCTTGGGAGAAATGTCTATTCAAATCAAATCCATTTTTTAATTGGGTTATTTGTCTTCTAATTGTTGAGTTCTTTATATATTCTGGATTACTAGATGCCTGTCACATATATGATTTGCACTTACTTTCTTCCATTCTGCGGATTGTCTTTACTTTCTTGATAATGTCATTTGATGCACAGAAGTTTTTGATTTTGCTGAAGTCCTATTTGTCTGTTTTTTCTGTAGTTGCTTGTGCGTAACTGAGAAACCATTTCCTAATTTAAGGTCATGAAGAATTGCACCTCTGTTTTCTTCTAAGAGTTTTTGTGGTTTTGGCTCTTACATTTAGGTCTTTGATACATTTTGAGTAAATTTTTGTATATGATGTGAGGTAGGGATCCAGCACCACTCTTTGTATGTGGAAACCCACTTGTCCCAGCCATGATTTGTTTTGATTGCTTATTTAGTTTGACAGTATTCTCTTCACAAAGTGGATAAAGTATGGATAGGGTAATGCCCTCTATGTCTCTTTTCTGCACAGTACTTTCTTTTGCTTGAATTTAAATTATATCCATTCTACTGCAGTTGATTGGGTTATATGTAAATAAACTCATAAATATATGATGTGATTAATGGGACCTGATATGTAAATTATATAAAGTGATAATCATATTATCATTTTTAAGAATAAAAATTCTTTAAATGTTTTTGATTATGGCATTTCTTTTCTTGGACTCCATAGTGCTTAGTAGAAAGCTTCCTTGCTGCCTTTTGCAATATCTAAGTATTGTAAAGAACCAGGAACTTGATGAACTTACTTATCTTTTTGACCATACCTTAGAACCAGTTAAAGGAATGAATTTGAAAAGTTGTATCTTAAAATTATATGACTGAAACTCACAGCTAGTTGTATAAGGAAAATAATGTACCTTATTTAACATTTTGCATAAATTTCACTTTTGGAGTAAGAATGGGTCATTAAGTCCTTTTTGGGAAGCCTGAAGCTTCGTGAAACCTAGTTATATAGGGTACAATGATAGCCTAGATTCTTCTGCTATTTTTTGGCATCATTACTGTGGTCTGTCTTTTGTAAAGATTGAAATGTTAATTTTCTTGCATCAAACAACCAGAAAACCCTAGAAATTTGGGGGGAGAATAGAGTCTTACAAGTAAATGACAAAAATATCCCAGCCCATATGTTTTGTTTTTATTGGATTATGCCTAAATGTACACAGTCCATTCATATTTTTAATTTATTTTGCAACAACAAAACATCATCTGAAAGACTGGCTTGCTGAGTGAGCTAACTGGCTTAACATTTAGCTGTTCTCCCTCCTTCTCTATTGCTCTGTGGTCTTCTGTTTCATATCATCTCATCAGGTGATGAAAAGACAATCTTCACCAAAGTTCTCTAGTCAAAACAAAGCACCTAAATAACTATACTTTTCTGATAGAACCTTTAGGCAGGTGCTTAAGCCTAAGTTAAGTGTTAGCTGTTCTTTCTAGTTTCTCCTGTACATTTCCCCTCTTCTCACTTTAACATACTTTGTTTGTATTTTCCTTTTTTTTAGGTTGCAGTTGTTCTGATGGATACACAGGGGGCATTTGACAGCCAGTCCACCGTGAAAGATTGTGCTACCATTTTTGCTCTCAGCACCATGACTAGTTCTGTTCAGGTGAAGCTGCTTGACTAGGAAAAGAGTTCGCAGAGGAAACAAGTTGAGGGTGTACATCTAGTTTCCATTATTGTTCTGTTACCAGAATTCCTATGATGATATGTAAAACTTCATATCTTTTAAGGCCTTATAAGCTCTTATAAGGTCAAGAAGGAACCTAAACTACATTCCACTTTCATTACAAGTATATATAAAATACTCCAAGAAAGTCTGAAAAGTGGAAATTGAAATCACGTCAATTGTATCATATAGGAAATGTAGATTTGGTAAGAATTTAGAAAAACTGTATTTTAAATTTTAAAGGAAGAGTGATGTGATTTCAACCTTACATGGATCATTTTCTAAAAGTTAGATAACAGTACTGTTTGAACAGACTTAATTTTCTTACATGCAAACCTTTAATCGTACAGAGCTTTTGTGCAAAGCTTTGGGCTAATTTGGGACTCGTTTGAAGTAAGTTAGAATAGTATCATTCTGGGTTTTTTGCTTTCTAGATTTATAATTTGTCCCAGAACATTCAGGAAGATGATCTGCAACAGCTGCAGGTATGTATTCATCATAAAAACCTTAACATCATCATGTATCATCTAAAAGTTTTTAAGACAAGAAAAAGGTTTGCAGCTAAGTAGTTTTCACTAAAGATTGAAGTATGGAAGAAGATTTTGGGTTCATAGTAGTCCTGTGCTCTGTATATCTATTGCTGGGGTGGTCAGAGAAGGCCCTGTTGAGTTGAACATGGAACTCAGGAAAGTGGATGAGGAAGTCTAAGATAATCTCTGTTGGGGGAGAAGTGGTATAGGAGAGGGGCCAGCAGGGAGAAAGACCCTGAGGTGGAGTGTGTTCAGTAGGATGAAGGAATAGCAAAGAGGCCAGTGGGTGGAATGAGGTGTGATGGAGGCGAATGATGAAGTCAGAGAGGCGTTAGGTCCCGGTGATGCCTGGCCTTTGTCAGGACTTGGGCTTTCTCTCTGGGTGAGATGGCAGCCAGGTTTTGAGCAAAGGAGTGGGATTATTTGAGATGAAAGGATCACTCTGGCTGTTTGAAATAGATTCTTAGGGGGGCAGGTATGCATTCAGTGTGACTGGTTATGAAGCTACTGTGATAACCCAGGTCAGGTTAAATAAATGAACATGTATAAAATGCACAGCATCATGTGCCTGGAAAAAAGTATGTGCTTTTTAACAGCTCTGCAGTATTTATTATTACTATTACTACTGCTGTTTTTAGTCATTGTCTTCTGTATTCCTGAAGACATGTGCTTTTCCTGTAAAATACTCTTCTCTGGGTTTTCCAGAGTTGGGTACAATCCCGGTCATGCTTCTCAAATTCCACTTCTCCCACTGGCATTCAGAAAACATACCGGAATGCTGGAGTGAGAGAGAGATAGGGATTACCTTTAGTACTAATTTATAGTCCTTTAAAGAAAACAAAAAAAAAATAATTCCTTAACTTAGGCCCTGAATGCTCCTACTAGCAAGTACTTGTACTTCATAATTAGTGGTTCTGCACCAGTGCCATGACTCAGTGGTTGAGAGCTGTGGCTGCTTAAACGTTTACACATTTACATCATATCTTGAGTTTGACACCTTTTTACCTGAAACTGATTCTAAGTTCTGTCCTTTCACACATTTTTAAAAATGTCTAACTTGTGTGAGGCAGTGGACCAAATGCTGTAGTTACTGTAATGTTTGAGATAGGCATGATTATTTGTAGATTTTGTAGTCCAGTCTGAGACAGGAATGAATAGGCGAGGGTGGTGTGCGAGGGCTGCTGTAACAAAGTACCACAAACTGGGGGGCTTAAAACAACAGAAATTTGTTGTCTCACAGTTCTGGAGGCTGGAAGTCAGAAATCAACCTTCTCTCTGAAGCTTTTTGGGAAGAAGCCTCTTCCTTGCTCCTAGGGTTTTGCCAGCAGTCCTCTGCTTGCAGCTGTAGCTGTAGCGCCTCCACCTCTGCGCGCGCGCGTGTGTGTGTCTTCTCTCAGTGTCTGTGTGTCTCCTATCATTGCATATTCCTCCCTGGCTCATATTGGATTAGGGCCCATCATAATGACTCACCTGAACTTGATGACATCTGTGAAGACCCCATTTCCATTAAGGTCATATTCACAGGTTCTGGAACTAGGATTTCAACATACTTTTGGGGGAAACAATTCAACCTGTAACAGCTGGTAAGGAAATTGGGATGCAGTTATGTAAGTCTTCTCTGATAATATTCTTAAGGGCTCTACCATCCTCTGGTTCCTCAAACTGAAATCTGTTTAAGCATGTCTTTCCCATAATCCCACACTCAGCTGGTGGGCTGAGTGTCCTGGGACGCTTCTGTGCAGCTTTGGGGTCCCTCTCCCTTTAAGATTTTCAAAGGGCACTCGCTTTTCTTTTGTCCCAGGGGCATGGGGACCGGCTCACAGGTTTTACTGTCCCATTTTCCTAGTATCCAACACACCATGCACTGTGTGTCTGCACTTCTGGTGCGGATGGCTAGGGCTCGGTGATTAGCAATCCTGGGCTCCCTCTCCCTCCGCGCTCCGACTCCTCTCCTCCCGCTGGGAGCTGGGGTGAAAGGCGCTCGGGTTCCGCCAGGCCATGGCTTGTATCTTACCCCCTTCATGAGGCAGTGGGTTCTCACATGTGTAGATGTAGTCTGGCTGTTGTCCTGTGTCTTCTGGTCTCTTTTAGGAATAGTTGTATTTGTTGTATTTTCAAAAATATATATGGTTTTGGGAGGAGATTTCCGCTGCTCTGCTCACGCCACCATCTTGGCTCCTCTACCTCTTTGATCCATTTTATTCTTTGGCACATGGCTGTCCAGTGTCCCCAACATCACTTACTCAAGAGACTGTCCTTTCCCCATTGTATATTCTTTGCTCCTTTATCATAAATTAATTGACCATGTACCCGTGGAATTATTTCTAGGCTCTATTCTGTTCCATCGATGTGTGTGTGTGTGTGTGTTTCAATTTGCTTGCTTGTTTGCTTCTGTTCTTTTTATTTTATTGATATACAGTCTTACTTTAGTTTCACGTATACAACACAGTGGTTCAACAGTTACCCATATTATTAAATCCTTACCCCTACTAATACAACTATTGTCTGTCAACATAGAAAGATGTTATAGAATCATTGGCTGTATTCTCCATGCTGTACTACCATCCCTGTGACCAGTCTACATTATGATTGAGAATTTTTGTGCCCCTTTATCTCCCTCATCCTCCTCCCACCCACCCCAACCCCTCCCCTATGGTGACCACAAGTTCCTTCTCAGTCCACTGTGTTTTGTTCCTTCTATTTTGCTTTGTTTTTATATTCTGTAAATAAGTGAAATCATACAGTATTTGTCTTTTCTCCACTCTGTGCATTTTTATGCCAATACCATACCTTTTTGATTAATATAGCTTTGTAATATAGGTTGAAATCAAGGCAATTTCTTTTAAGTTCATTTCTTGGCAGGATCCCATTTAATCTTTATTTTTTCTCTCCTTAATTCTATGCATTCTCCAGTAGCTTCCTGAGAAAGGATAGAAAGGATGCATAGGAGATAACTTTTTGGGGATCTTTTAAGTCTGGAAACAGTTTAATTTTATTCTAGAGTTATAGGATGGAAATAATTTTGTTACAAAATTGAAGGCGTTGTTTCCTTGCCTTCCAGCTTCCATGCTGTTGTTGGAAGTTCCAACCAATCTGATTCCTGATCCTTTGTATGTGATCTTTCTGTTTCTCTCTGAAGCTTTTAAGATCTTATTCTAGGCATGAGTTTTCAGGGTGATATACTTAAGTGTGGGCTTATTCTTCATTCTTGGTGAACTCATATCCTCAAGAAGATAAGATATTGCTGCTGTTGCAACCAAGGAATAATGGGTTGCTGTTAAAAAGCAACATTCAGAAAAAAACCAAGGGCTCCTGGAAATTAAAATTATGACAGCAAAAATGGAAAATGCAATAGAGGAGGAGTTAGAAGGTAAACTGGAAAAAATTCCCTATCAGGTTGAATAAAAAGACAAAGAATAGAAGTTGGGAGTTGGGGGAGGGAGTCAAGCAGAGAGGAGAGGAGAGAGAAAGGGGGAAGAAAGGGAGCTAGCACAGGAAAAAGGACATTTGAGGGTTGATGTAGGAGGATTAAACATGTTAATACTAGGTGTTTTTGTAAAAGAGAAAAGTGGAGGGGAAGGAATTATAAAAGGAAAAATTTAAGATGATGTAGAATTGAAGGACATGAGTTTTTGTCTTTCCTGTTAGAAGCTTTTCTCAAAGGTCTTGTGGTCCTTGGTCTTCTGTACTAAGGATGAGCTAGAAATCTGACTGGGAGCTTTGGTAAGAGGGTGGGCCTGTATACCCGGTTGGCTCACAGTGAGGTGATTGGACATGATTATTTAGCTGTTCTTTTGCAACCCCTAAATGTCTGTATTTGCAGTCAGTCTCCCCAGAGTTGAATTCCTTAACTCCTGCCTAGCGGGGGTAGAAGCCTGTTGTGGCTCCAGCAGGGTGAGAGGGCTGAGTCTCCTTCTTTAGTCTGTCAACTTTGACTTCTGTACTCATTTCCAGTCATGTAGGGCATTTACTTCTATCCTGAGCTGAGTGTGGTATCAAAGTCTAAATGCTTTTGGTTTATTTTCTCCAGATAGTCCACGTCTGGGGAGGAAGAGGATTGGAGCCAGGCTGTGGGAGTTTAGGTGCTCTCCCCAAAGACTCTCAGCAGTTTTGTTAGTTGTCACCCCCTCCCTCGAGGTGACTGGTGCTGCTAATTCCTGAGCCTTCCAGGGATTCTGCTGAGTCTGTGATTTCTTCTTGGCTGTGCCTCTTGCAGATTTCCTAGCAGAGCAGAGGAGGCTGAAACCCAAGGCAGTTCTCATTTGTCTGTTTTCCTTTGGGAGTGTTTTTGACAGCTCTTCTCAGCTCATGTCATTTTTCATCCTTTTTGTCTTGTGAGTTTACAACTTTTAAATTGAATTTTGCTGTACTTCTAGTGAGGCTTCCTAAGAGCATAGAGGAAATGTGTAAACCCTAACCTTGAATCTGTTCATTTGGTCATTTGAATGGCATCCATGCTGTGGGCCCAGGGCTCTTGCTCCTGCAGGTACAGGAGTGTCCCAAACAGACAAACATTCCTGTCCCATGGAGTTTAAATGCTAATAGTGAAGACCGACACTGGTCAAGATGAGTAAAGGTATAGTATGTTAGATAGTAAGGTGGCTTAAAAAGCAAAATTTTGGAGAGGCACAGTGTAGGAGGTATCTTGGGGAGAGCCATCATCTTCTTAGGTAAGCCTGGAAAGCTTTCGCCTGGAAAGCTTTTTTGAGAAGGAGCCATTTGAGTAAAGACCTTAAGGAGTAAGGGAACCTGACAGTACAGACATTTGGGGGAAGAACACTACAGGCAGAAGGAGGAGTCAGAAACAAAGGCCCAGTAGCAGGAGTGTGCCCAGTATGTTTGAGGAACAGCGAGGGGGTCCGGGGGGCAGTGTGACCACATCTCAGTGTAAAGACTGGCTTTTATACTGAATGAGGTTGTTGGAGGTTTCGAGCAGAGGCATGGTGTGGTCTAACTAACCTTATTATAACAGAGCCACTGTGGCTGCTGTACTTAGAATAATAGTTGGGGGTGGAGGGCAAGGGCTGAGGCAGGGAGACTGGTTAGGAGGCTATTGCAGTATTCCAAACCACATGGAAGTTGTGAGTTTTTGGTTTCTGGGTTTTGCTAATGAATGGGGTGTGGGATGTAAGACAGAGGAATAACCAAGGTTATTTTAAGGTTCATGGCTCCTGAGAGCTTTTGAAATTGTAGAACTTTGGTTTAGTATAAGTGGAATTCTTTGCTACAGCATAGTCATAGAAATACAAACCATTAACTCTTGTTTTTATAAAGCTCTTCACAGAATATGGTCGTCTGGCAATGGATGAAATTTTCCAAAAACCCTTCCAGGTAGAGTGCTAACTATAAGTGTAATTCATATCTTTGTTTTAATTCTGAGATCAGCAGACTATAGCCCACAGTCCAAATCTGGCCAGCTGCCTGTGTTTATATGACTTATGAGTTAGGAATGGTTTTTACATTTTTAAATGGTTGAAAAAACATCAGAAGAGGAATAGTATTTCTTGATATGTATAAATTAGCTGTGCACACTGACATTTAACTTTCAGGTAAAGTTTAATTGGAACACAGCTACAGTCCTTTGTATTGTTGGCTGCCTCTTGTCACAAAATCCCAAAATACTTACTCTCTGGCCCTTTACAGAAAAAGTTTGCTGACCCCTGCTATAGCTAATTGTTTGATGAAGATGAAAATGCATAATAGGTAGTAAGATTAGAGGAACTTTGAGTATTATTATTTTAGTTCTTTTCCTCTGTAGCATTAAAAGTAGATCTGGTTTTATGATTAGCTAGTGTTATATTGTTTCCTTGTCCTTTTCCACATTCTTCATACTTGCCTTTAGAGCAGAGCCCTGAATTTAACATACTCTTATCAGTCTCTTCCTTCTGTTCTTATTAACCTATGGGAACAGAAATAGTAGATAGGATATGTGGCCCTCACATTTGGCTTACACATGTCCTTCTAAAGTTTAGGAGGTTTCTAAGACATAGAATAGAAAGTCCTTCACATTTTCTTGCTCCCTTTGAAGAAATTGGCATTATACCCAGGAGTATTTATCAACTGTTATTTTGAAAATGCATTAATGCAATGTTATAATGTGCTCTGCTCCTTTCCTAAATAGACCCTGATGTTTTTGGTTCGAGACTGGAGTTTCCCTTATGAATACAACTATGGATTACAGGGAGGATTGTCATTTTTGGAAAAGCGTCTACAGGTGAGTAATCTTCTGAGGAATTATCTAAAAGTAGAAATACCTTTCTCATTTGCCTGTAGCTGTTGTGTTGAGAGCAGATTATGGAAAATTATATTAAGTGTGTTAAGTGCTTATGAATATTAGTAAACACTAACATGACTCATGTAAGATTAAAGAAACTGGCACAGGGATGCAGAGAAGAGCCCTGGGCAAAAGCCCAAGCTTTCGTTGTAATTTCCATTTCATATTTTATACCAGGTTCTCTATATGCCTTTGGAATGTCACAGTCAGAACTTCAGTTCTTTTCTTACTCAGAATTCTTACTTGTTTTGGGATGGATATAAACAGGCTTATTAGCCTGTTCCAAAACTAAAACAACAGGAGTCCTTTGTCAATCACTACTGTCTAGTTAGATTCAGCCTTCCTTTGTTCTTCCTAAGTGTTGTGTAGAACTCTTCTTTAGGACACTCTTTAGTACCTGTTCTTTAGAAGCTGTAGGAGCCAAGCCACAGTTACCAAATTTATGCACTTATTGCTCCTAGGGTTCTGAGTTTTCTCATCGGTCAAGACCCAGGCCTCTGTGATCCATCAGAGTTGGGAAGTCTTCCCTCTGTCCTACACTAGTGGCTCCTAGGGAAGGAAAACACAAGATCTTTTGTAAATTGTTGGTCTTCGTTGGCAGGTGAAAGAACATCAACATGAAGAAATTCAGAATGTCCGAAACCACATCCACTCATGTTTCTCCACCGTCACCTGTTTTCTCCTGCCACATCCGGGACTCCAGGTGGCCACAAGCCCTGACTTCGATGGGAAATTGAAAGGTGTGTCACCAATGACATTATTTTAAACTCATGATGTGATCTTTGGGATTAGAGAGTGATCAGCAAATGTGAATTACAGATCTAGTGATGCTAAAGAGAAATAGTGTATTCTCTTAGAAAGACTAGTGTTGAGAGTCTAGTTCGGTTTTTGCTCCTGCGTTACTGTGGCCATCAGAATTAATTTACCTTATCCCCTCCATCTGAAATGGTGGTGGTACTATCCATTAATGATCTTTATAAAAGACATGCTGTGATTATTGGTGTATAAGAGATAAAAGTGCCAGATAAAAGAAAACTAAACATTAGTCAGCTAATAATTTATCAAGTAAATTAACTTCAGAAAGAAAGGCAACATGATGGATGCATAGTTGTTGTTTCATGTTATTGTGATGAGAGCAAAACCTGATGCTGGGTCATGTGTCACTATCAGGAAATGCTGACTAGATGGTGGCTTAGAGAAATCAGAGTTGGGAGTCTTGGCTTCTGTTATCTTTTGTTCCTTATTTATTCATCAAGACCTTGAGTCGTTTAATGGCTAGCCCTTGGTTTACACATGTTTTAAACTAAGCACTTTTGTTTGTAAACTTATCTGAGCTTCTCAGGTTCCTAGTAAAGTAGAAATAATAATAGCTGCCATTTTTAAAGGCCTAGCTTGTATCTGCAACTGTCTGTTTGTGATGCTGTAACAAAATGCCATGGATTAGGTAGCTTATAAACAACAGAAGTTTATTTTTCGTAGTTATGGAGGCTGGAAGTCCAAGATCAGAGCGGCAGCATGGTTGGGTGAAGGTTCTCTCCCTCGTCTCAGACCTCTGGTTGTAGTCTCACGTGTTGGAAGGGGCCAAGAGCTCTCTGGGGTCTCTCTTGTAAGAGGACTAAACCCATTCATCAGGACTTCACCCTCATGACCCTATTACCTTCTAGAGGCCTCACACGCTAATACCATCACCTTTAGGGATTGGAATTTGAACATACGACTTTAGGGGCGGGGGCACAAAATTCAGACCATAGCACCAGCACTGTGTTAGTTACTTTCCTAGTTAGTACTCCCAGTAATTCCATGAAGCTAATGTTTCCTTTATTTTACAGATAAAGAAACTGGACTAGGAAAGTTAAGTAACTTGCTGAAAGTACTCAGCTAGCAAGTGGTGGGGCGGAGATTCACATTTAGATCCTTGATGCCCCAAAGCCATACTGTGCTAATATTGAAGTTATTCTGTTATATTGGAGAAGTAATTTAGAGGATATATACTGTTTAGTTACCAGGAGAACTTGCTTTTTGAAAGTTTAGAAGTTTTTCATAGCCTCATATTAAACAAATTGCATAATTTTCGATTTATTTGACTCTATTGATCCAGGAAAGTTAATATTGTTCATCTTAAGATTTACACTCCAGCTGGTCTTAATATTATGAAAGAAACCCAATTTGAGAGACTTACCTTTACCTTCTGTTTGTCATTTAGATGATACTTTTTTGTGGTGGGCAGCTTCTCTGATCGGGAGTCATACAGAGCCTATTAGAGGGCAGTTCAAAAATCAAAGTTTGGGGACTGGCTTTGGAGAGAAATCTGCTTAGGCAACACTGGAGCTAGATAGAACCTTTTACCTAAAAAGCAGTTGTGAGTGACTTTTCTAATCTGAGAATGTAGAGAAAGTTGAGCGTGTAGGTGATATGTTCCTTTAGTGTTATAAGGCTCCGTTATTAGACATCCTTTTACCAAGCCTAAACTGTTTTGTTCATCTGGTAGGGAAAATGCCCAGTGGAGATGTGGGTTTGAGCAACTCCTCATGCCTTCCCTCTGACCTAGGTTGGCCTCAGGTTATCAGGCATAAATGTACAAATTGGCATTCCTCTGTATTTTCAAGACATTTTAATATGTCAAAACATTTTGTTGTAGAATGTATTTTTAACTTGTTATTCCAAGAAATGGGAAGAGCTTTTTAAAGGTCTATATAACCCTGACTTTGGAATTTTGTGTCACTTGTGTGTATGTGTGTTGTATTTGTTTCCGAGGACTACTGTAACAAAGTACCACAAACCAGGTGGCTTAAGACAGCAGCAGTTTATTTCCCAACAGTTCAGAAAACCAGAATTCTAAAATCAAGGTGTCAGCAAGGTTGGTTTCTCCTGGAGGCTCTGAGGGCAAATCTGTCCCGTTCTTCTCTCCTAGCTTCTTGTGGTTGCTGGCAGTCCTTGACATTCGTTGGCTTGTAATAAGTGTCATCACTCCCCATCTCTCTCTCTCACATGGCCACCCTCTCTTTGTGTATCTCTGTGTGTTCTTGTAAGGACACCATTCCTTAGATTTAGGTCTCACCCTAATCTAGTATGATCTCAGTTTAACTCATTTCATCTATAAAGACTCTTATTTCTAAATAAGCTCACATTTTGAGATTCCAGGTGGACATACATATGGTGGGAGGGATACTGTTCAACCAGGTACACATATTTACAGATTATGAATGGTTTATCAATAAATATTAAGTGTGCTAGATTTCATATTTATTACATTTACAAAAAATAAGGAACACGTTTCGTATAAGCAACCTGTAGTCTCATAATTTTGCACTATTTGCTTTTCCTATCCATTGAAACTATAAAACACATTTATAGGGTTCAAATCTTCCTTTCTGACATAATTTTCATGTAAGCAAGTCCCGGTAAGCAAGTCCCGAAGGAAGAAATACAAAATGGTCAGTAAAAACTCTTGGAAATATGTGCAGCATAGTAATCAAGAAAGCACAAATGTATTGGTACAACTTCATATAGTCTTTATGTGACTGTATCAAAAATTTAAATATTCATATCCTTTGAGCCACTACTTCACTTTTAGGAAATTACTCTAATGAACTATCTTAATAAGTAGGTAAGAATATATGGACAAGGTTATATATGACTGTGCATTTTTATAATAGGGAATAATTGGAAAGAACTTAAATGTGTGTTTTTGAGGAATTGGTTAAATTACAGTACATCTGCACAAAGGAATAAAATGCAGTCATGTGGAAGGATAAGGTAGATGGATCTATCTGTATTTACAGAAAAAGATGTCTATGACGTTTTCGATATAAAAAGATTACAAAGTAGCATATGTTGTTTGATCCTATTTACGGAAAGATGTATGGTTGTAACTATATTTTTTAAAAGAAAAGATTTGAAAAAATTAAAAATTTCCTTTTTTTGCTTTTCTTTAAAAATGTGCTGGTAGTTTGCCCGTGTGAGTCTATTAAGGTAACTGGTCATTAGGAGGATTGTTCATGAAGAATTTCTTATTAGCCCTGCAAAGGTTTATGTATTTTTTATCTTTGGAACTGGATATTTTGTAATTTTAGGGAACCTTTTAATGAAGGGTTTTGAGTGAAGAGTAAATTGGATACTAAATTGCAAATAGTAGGTGATTTTGAATATTTGGCAAGTGCTTGATCGAGAACCACATAAACTTTATTGTGAGGGACATGTAAGTAGAGCTGATGTATTCCCCAGTTAAAAAAAATACCGAGGTGTTGTACAATGACTTGGTTGAGATGCTGGGGTCCCGTTCCGGGTAACCTGGAAAAGACAACACTAGGCCCTGAGTTGTTAGGGCTACTCCATTAAAAGACCTTAATGTAATTTCTGTAGAACATTTAAATTGAAAAAGAACTACAATCTGAAGCTATTTCTACAAATGTTCCCTTGAATACTTCGGGGATTGTTTTAGTGGTTTTATTTTATTTTATTTTAAAAGATTGACTATTCAGTGTTGAACACCTACCAAACCTAATCTTAGTTTTGGTGTAATCAGTGCTAAGCTACTGCTTCCTGCAGTGGTTAGTTAGGAGGTTAGCTTGCTTTTGAGACCGTTTTCATCAGACACAGGACAACTGTATCATCACCATAAAGAAAAATGTCTTCTTTATTTGCTGGAGCAGAGAGGCTTAACACAGAACTGCTGAGTTGTTTAAAGGACTCAGCAGGAGAGTATGTAGGGTGTGGTCTTCTTTGACACCACAGCCTATCAAGATTGTCTTTGTCATGAGACAGTTCTTGTCTGTTTGAGTCTAAAACATATTTTGGTACAGCATTCATAGAAACACTAATTGCTGAGGGTCTATGAAATATGGGTAAAACTGAGTGTAATAATGGTCTGTGGGGTCTAGAGCATGCTAGTTCCTTGTGTGAAATATTTTTGAAGCTCTCAGTCTTTCAGTGTGATGAAAGTTGAAACCATAAAAAAAGATGTTTTCTGAATAGGTAATGTATTCCTATGTTTAAAATCCCAAAAAGAATTAAAAAGCATTCAGTGAGAAGTCTCTTCCATTTTTGTAGGTTTCTGGAGTTTCTTTAGTATATGCAAGCAAATATGAATGTACACAGTAATAGCGTATTCACACTATCTTATAATTTTTCATTTCAAGGTTATAAAGAATTTGTCTCTTTTCTTGAAGTTCTGGTTTCATTTTTCACATTGTAATTATGATCCGGTTTGGATCCAGTTTATTTTCCGAATGGCTACCCATTTGTATGAACAGTATTTATTGAATAGTCTGACTTCCCCTCACTGATTGAAATGTCTACATTATCTCATATTAAGCCACGAATCAGTGTGTAATGTGGAGATTAAATCTTTAAGTTGGTATAGGCCATACTTTGGCGCCATCCTGAGGAGACTATAAAATTAATTAAGAGTATTTATGAAGATTGGTACCCATTTATTTAGGACAGATTTTAAAACTTTAAAAATGTTTTAATATCAAAAGAGCTTATGATTGATTATAGTTAAGATGGGATGAGAATCCATGGAGATGAGAAGTGCATGTTACTGTTTAGAGAAAATCTCCTAGAGATTTCAATTTATGAGCCATAAAAAAATTCTAGATAGATTATTAAGTTAAATTATAAAAATTAAAGTATAGGGCCAAAGCAATCCTGAGAAGGAAGAATAAAGCAATCCTCAGAAGGAAGAATAACATCTCCTTGTGTTTTAATAAAACTGGGGATTATGCTCCCCAACTTCAAGCTCTACGACAAAGCCACGGTAATCAAGACAATTTGGTACTGGCACAAGAACAGACCCATAGACCAGTGGAACAGACTAGAGAATCCAGGTATAAACCCAAGCATATATGGTCAATTAATATATGATAAAGGAGCCATGGACATACAATGGGGAAATGACAGCCTCTTCAGCTGGTGTTGGCAAAAGTGGACAGCTACATGCAAGAGAATGAAACTGGATTACTGTCTAACCCCATATGCAAAAGTAAACTTGAAATGGATCAAAGACCTGAATGTAAGTCATGAAACCATAAAGCTCTTAGAAGAGAACATAAGCAAAAATCTCCTGAATATAAACATGAGTAACTTTTTTCTGAATGCATCTCCTTTGGCAAGGGAAACAAAAGCAAAAATGAACAAATGGGGCTATGTCAAACTAAAAAGCTTTTGTACAGCAAAGGACACCATCAGCAGAACAAAAAGGCATCCTATAGTATGGGAGAATATATTTGTAAATGATATATAGGACAAGGGGTTAACATCCAAAATATGTAAAGAACTCACATGCTTCAACACCCAAAAAGCAAATAACTTGATTAAAAAATGGGCGGAGGATACAAACAGACAATTCTCCAAAGAAGTTGAGATGGCTAACAGGCACGTGAAAAGATGCTCCACATCACTAATTATCAGGGAAATGCAAGTTAAAAACATAATGAGATATCACCTCACACCAGTTAGGATGGTCAGCATCAAAAAGACTAAGAAAAACAAATGCTGGCGAGGATGTGGAGAAAGGGGAACCCTCCTACACTGCTGGTGGGAATGTAAACTAGTTCAGCCATTGTGGAAAGCAATATGGAGGTTCCTCAAAAAACTAAAAATAGAAATACCATTTGACCCGGGAATTCCACTCCTCAGAATTTACCCAAAGAATATAATTTCTCAGATTCACAAAAGACATATGCACTCCTATGTTTATTGCAGCACTATTTACAATAGCCAAGATATGGAAGCAACCTAAGTGTCCATCAGTAAATGAATGGATAAAGAAGAGGTGGTACATATACAAAATGGAATATTATTCAGCCATAAGAAGAAAACAAATCCTACCATTTGCAACAACATGGATGGAGCTGGAGGGTATTATGCTTAGTGAAATAAGCCAGGTGGAGAAAGACAAGTACCAAATGTTTTCCCTCATTTGTGGAGTATAACAATGAAGCAAAACTGAAGGAACAAAACAGCAGCAGCAGACTCACAGACTCCAAGAAGGGACTAGTGGTTACCAAAGGGGAGGGGTGGGGAAGGGTGGGTGGGGAGGGAGGGAGAACGGGATTGAGGGGTATTATGATTGGCACACATGGTGTGTGGGGGGTCATGGGGAAGACTGTAGCACAGAGAAGGCAAGTAGTGACTCTGTGGCATCTTACTACACTGATGGACAGTGACTGCAATGGAGTATGGGAAGGGACTCTATAATATGGCTGATTGTAGTAACTACATTGTTTTTCATATGAAACCTTCATAAGGGTGTACATCAATAATACCTTAATAAAATTACATAAAAATATTAAAGTATAGGAAAAGTTAATTTTATTAGATCTCTAGAATTAGGGAAGGACTCTTTAAAATTAAATGGAATAAAATAAATTATCAAAGAAAAGTGCTCTAAGTTTGAATACATAATAATTTAATGCATATTGAAAAAAGGCAGACCAACTGGGGAAAATATCTCAGGGATCATAGTACACATCAGGATAATGTATTTGTTTACTTCCTGAAGGGTGACTATATTCTAAAGTAAAGGCCCCTAATAGTTCATTGCAAAGAAACTAGTAGATGAACAAATATGGGAGAAAGCTTGGTCTAACTAATAATAAAAGAAAAGCAAAATAATGAGCTACCATTAAAATTTTAAGTGTGTTAAATATCCAAAAGAATGCAAAATTATTACATATAAAAAAGAATATTCCTAATGTATACATGTAAGGTATGAAGCATAAGATAATGAACATCATGGACCCATTATCCAACTTAATATCTAGAACCAGAATTGGCAAACTTTTTCTGTAATGGAGTAGTAGTAAATATTATGTTTTGTGGGCTATACAACTACTCAGTTTTGCTCTTGTAGTAAGAAAACAGCCAGACAATATGCAAATTAATGGACATGGTTGTGTTTCAATAAAACTTTATAAATACAGTTAGTCTGTATTTGGCCTAAGGGCTGTGGTTTGCCAATCCCGTGTCTATTACCAGTACTATTTCCTCTTCCTGTGTGCTTCTTCCCTGCCCTGTCTTGCTGCCTCCCTACAAAAATAACCGCTATTTTACTAAATTTTGTTTATCCTGCTTTTGAAATTAAAAAAAAACTATTACTTGTATTTGAGTTACTTAGTAGTCTGTTGTTAAGTTATAAAAATATAGTATGTGGCCAACTTGCATTTTCACGGTTTTATTTCTAAGATTATCTGTATTACCACATGTAGTTGTATTTCCTTCACTTTTCATTGTATAATAGTGCCTTATGTGAAAATAACACTTTTACTCTTAATGAAAATTTGTGCTTTTCAGGTTTTTACTATAATGAACAGTGCTGCCTTGAATATTCTGTGTAAATGGTTGTACAGGAGTTTCCCAAGAGTGTGTGATTAAAAGTGGGATTGCTGAGCGCTGCAACATATTGTATATCCTCACTTTACTGGGTAACACAAAATTGTTTTCCACAGTGGCTGTTCCAGTGTATACTCCCATCAGTGTATATAAAATATCCAGCCCCCTTCCACTATGCAACTTAATTTAGAAGCTCATTTTGCCCCAGGTGTAGTCACCCCCTTGCAGTGAATGGACCCACATAAGCCACAGCACCACTGGTACTGAGCTCACTGCTCTGGATTCAGCTTTGTCCTGACAGCTGCTCAGCTCCTGGCAGCTCCCTTGTCCAGCAGTGCAGTGGAATATGTTTTATGCAGGATCTTGTTAGGACTAAGGGTCCTTTCCTTCCAGATTAGAATCTAATCTCTAGATCTAATGTCTAATTTAGAGACAAGATTTTCTAGTCTTTGGTACTGTCAGAAGCAGATGTCCGAAGATACCATTTTTCACTAATCAAGTCAGTAAAGAATGAAAAACAGTAAAATCCTTTAGTGTGTTGAGGGTAGTAACCAAGCTGCCTTATACATTGATTGTAGGTGTATGAATTGGTGCAGTCGTCTACCAAAACATATATATGTGTGGCAATATGTAAGATATAAGTGCCTTAATAAGGAAGGAGGATATTTTAAATATTAATTGTGGTTATCTGATGGTGGAATTTATTCTTTATTTTCTTTGAAGAAAATTTTTTTTAATGGTGGGCTTTATTCTGATGTTTTTTTTCTTTTTAAAAATAGTTTTGGATGTTTTCCAGGAATCTGCAGTCATTATAATATCTGATAATTCCTCTTAGAGGACCACATTATCTAAAGAAATGAAAGTAACCTGAAGATTTGTCATGCAGAGATTTTTATGGTGATATCTGTAATTGGAAAAATTTAGAAACCACTAAATTTTTGTTTTATTCACTGCTTTATCCCCAACTGTTATAGCAATGCCAGCCACAAAAAGATTCTCAGAAACTGTTAAATGAATAAATGAAATAAGATTGTCTCAATTTTATAAGTTAGGGTTATGGAGTGTTGAAGTAAAGATCTATCTGGGTGTGGGTCCTACCCACTTTCTTTTCAGTTGTTTGAATTAGTTGGGAACCTAGGAAGATGTTAGATTATTTCAGTCAGACTCCTTGTATTTTAATTCTCTTGTGTCTTGTTTGAATCAGGTAGTTCTCACTTTGAGGAACTAGTTCTCTTTAATGGGTCTCCTGAACCCTCTGTATGAACTTTGTAGAAGCTGCAAAGAAGCTGTCACCTGTTTTGAAATAGGAGCCTTTCCCCTTTGGGGTGGATATCTGAGAGATAATAGAAAATAAATGTTATGAAGTACCTGTGCATCTACTTCTTTTAACAAAAAATGAACAAAAAATGAAGCAAATGGATAAATAGTGATTTTTAATGGATTCAGGGGGAGCATGAGGGAGCAGTAAGCACCTGGCCTGAGAAAACTTGAGGGGTTGATAACGGATTTTTTGAAGACTTGGTCAATGACATTTTTTAAAATGTGAAATTTCTTAAAAGAGAGAGTAGGCTGAATCTCCCAGAATGAAAACCAGGATAAGGATATTCTTTATATTCTCCTCTGGACTACAGAGCACTTACTGGCACAAAAGAGAAGGATACAGTAAAGACACATGTGCAGAGATCCTGCAGCAACCTGGTCATAGCCAGAAAGCGTCAGACATCTGGCCTGGCACAACGCCCCCCACCCCCCACCCCACTCCCTACTTCCCACCCCTGCCTGATTTTCAACTAGCAAGTATAGAAACAACTGGATAGACTCTGAAGATTGTATTTTATGCTAACCTTGGTTGAATAATTCTCTTTGGCTTATTGTTTCCTTCTTTGTGGTTCTGTGAGCAGATATTGCCAGTGAATTCAAAGATCAATTACAGACTCTGATACCATTTGTATTAAATCCTGCTAACTTAATGGAAAAGGAGATCAATGGCTCAAAAGTCACCTGCCGAGGGCTATTGGAATATTTCAAGGTAATTATGGGTTTTATTATTAAAATGTTTGGCTTTGGGTAAAATTGATCTAGATTGTAAACTAACTTGAGTTTCGATTTAAAAGCTTAGGGGAAAGTTTCATGGGGAAGACGGTCAGTCTGCAGACTTAAGTGTCCTTCCAGGAGTGGGCCACAGGGTGGCAGTATTGGTCTAAGAACCAAATGGATGTTCTTTGCACTTTCTTAGAGGAGTAATTACTGTGGCTAAAGGAAGATTGTTCCTCAAGGAAGATGGTGTGGACAGGAGGTGGTTAGGAAGTTGCTGTGAGTAGGAGACGGCACCTAGATGTGACACGACTACCTCAAGGCGGATGGTCACTCTGCCCACAGGCAGTGGTGAGGCCAGTGTGCATGGGGAGTCTGGTGGGAGTCCTAGCTGTGGTAGGCTCATGCTGCTTGAGAACATTTTAGTTCACTAAAATGCTAACATGCACTCAAAGGTGTGTTGTGTTTTTGCTAATTCCTGGGTGTTGATCTAGGTCTTTAGGAAAACACAGTTGTATGGTTACTGTTTTTTTTAAATTAAAGTATGACTGTGATAGAATGATGTTTTTCATATCATTTTTATGTTTAATCCTAAGGCATATATTAAAATTTACCAAGGAGAAGATCTGCCTCATCCCAAATCTATGCTCCAGGTGAGCATTTCTTTACATCCTAAATGATATCCTTGCATTACTTGAGTTGAACTCTATACAGTAAGCAGAGGCCTTTAAGAAGAGAATGCTATATTGCTCCTTTCCCCTTAGGCTGATGTCTGTTTTCAGCACATTTTCCATAAGTGACTGCTATTTGGTTTCTTGTAGTCTGTACTCGTGATGTAGTTAAAACAGAGCAGCCTATTGCTAGGCCCGGTCTTCCCACCAAACATTCTCTGGAAAATAGCTCTATCACAGCCAGGTAAAAAATGCCCAGTTATGTTAGACCAGGTCATTCTCCTGTTATTGTCTATTTTAGTAGAACATGGCCTGAAATCTATTTACTTATCAGGTATTTTATTTTCAACATTTTGGTTTTTTCAAGACGTCATTTTGTTAAAACATATAATTTCAGACTTTCATGTTGTATATAGGCCATCTATTTGCCAAATGTTTATTTCTGTAGTGGCCAAACTTCTTCACAGAGAACTTAGGATTGATGTTGTAGAGATAAATTTTTTTCCTTCTTTTATGACTTACATCTATTTCTTAACACTTACAATTGGAGCAAAGGAAATAATATTTTCTGAGGGTTAGTGTATGATGAAGAGTCTTATTTATAAGAATATTTGTTGGCAGAAAATTTGGCAGAAACAGTACATTTTATTTCATAAATTGAGAGGAAGTTTTTACTTGGTTACTTGTGGGAGGTGTTAAAAGAAGAAGGATTTATAGTTTATGCTTTCCTATCTTAAAAGGCCACCGCTGAAGCCAACAATTTAGCAGCTGCAGCCTCTGCCAAGGACATTTATTATAACAACATGGAAGAGGTATGTTGGGCATATGATTTACTCTGACATAACCTGGGCATTGTTGCTGACTTCAAAAGCCCGAACTTGATTCTGGTTAATGTATCTTACGATGATGAGGCAACACAGCTGTACTCAGGTAATTCTGTTAATCTGGGCCTTCTAATTACCATTTCTAACCAAGGCTTTCTTAGAGCATCACTGCTGTCCCTGATCAATACCACCCTGGTTATTTAAATGTGCTTTTCAGTAGAGTAAACCCAGACTTTATTGGTCTTGGTCATCATTTGAAAGTTAATTTCTAATATCTTAAAATATTCTAACCTTTTCAGGGATTCGATTATGTTATTTTGCACTTGCGTTTGAAGAGATCTTCAACACATTTGTGTCTTTATGCTTTTTAGGTTTGTGGGGGAGAGAAACCCTATTTGTCTCCAGACATTCTAGAGGAGAAGCATTGTGAATTCAAACACCTTGCTCTGGACCATTTTAAGAAGACCAAGAAGATGGGTGGGAAGGATTTTAGCCTTCGTTACCAGCAGGAGTTGGAGGAGGAAATCAAGGAACTCTATGAGAACTTCTGCAAGCACAATGGTAGCAAGAATGTCTTCAGCACCTTCCGAACCCCCGCTGTGCTCTTCACAGTCATCGTGGCTTTGTACATAGCCTCCGGCATCACTGGCTTTGTTGGGCTTGAGGTTGTGGCCCAGCTGTTCAACTGTATGGTTGGACTGCTGTTAATAGCGCTTCTCACCTGGGGGTACATCAGGTATTCTGGTCAATATCGTGAGCTGGGCGGAGCTATCGATTCTGGTGCAGCATATGTATTAGAACAGGTAAGTGGTGCCAGCTAAGGAGGCTGAGAATTGATAATGGACAGATATCTATGCTTCTACTGTAAAATATCTCTGGGAGAGTTTCATAGTAAAGGAAGGTCTGAGAAATGGCTGCTCGCCATTTTTTTTCTGGTAGGCATTATGCATTATCCTTCTCTGGAATATTAGCATTTATTCCTAATATTTTGTTTTCATGCCTAAAAGCTGCCCTTTAATGCAAAAAAATTTCCAACATAGACATATTATGTTCCTCATGGAAAACTTCTAACTGCATATTCCTCAGACACAATTCCTTTGTGATTCCCCATTTAGTTTGCTTTACTGAGAAAAACAGGAGCTTGACAAAATCTGAGTCCTACTGATCTGCTAATGGATGGCATCTTTCAATGAAATCTTCCAGAAAGTGAATAGTTTTTTTTTTTTTGAAATTCACATGATCTTCAAGTTTACAGATCCTTGAGACTCTTAATTGATTTATTTTCCTGAGTAGCATGAACAGATCAGTTACATTAGAAGCTGTGGCAAAGCCAGGAGAGCTGCCCAGCCCACCCAGAACAGAGCAGAGGCTCAGCCAGCTCCCTGAGGAGTCCACTGGTGCCACAGGCTACCCTGACCCCTGGGTTTTCATTCCCCTGTTGTCTGCAGCACACTAATGATATAGATGAAGATTTTTAAAGTTTACCTCCGAGAACTTACTTTTTTGATGTTGTGCTGTATTTTATTAATTTACATGCTGAATAAATGGACTTTTGCAGGCGTCTTCTCATATCGGTAATTCTACTCAGGCTGCTGTGAGGGATGCGATTGTTGGGAGACCACCCGTGGACAAAAAAGCTCAATAGCATCTTAACAAGACGACCCAGCAAGAGCACGCCCAGCCCCTCCTGATGTCTGGGTCTCCCCATGGCCACAGGTCCAGGTCTGGAGGAGCACAGATCTGGGGCCATCTGGGAAGAGCTGAAGTATGGCAGTAATAAATGAATAGACTTTTCCAGTGGTTTCAAATTCTTCAACACACTTGCGTTTCTCTAGGAAGCATCTCTTTTCCTTGCTGATATAGATCCAAGCCTATGCCTATTTTCTTATTACTCTCTGCTTCGCGCACTTTATGGGGGAAAAAGCTAAAGGAAGAAAATGAATATGCGGTTTTAAGTCCTTTATGTGCCACTTAGTGCCTTTTAAGATTGATTCTGTGTTTTTGAGGACATAATCAGTTGAAGATTGAGGATATCCTCATGAAAGATGCTGTTTTGGGGTGAAACTTGTCAGTTCTTTTATACATTACTCTTTTGGAAGGATTCCTTTTTTTTAAAGTTTACAAAACTTTCAAAGCTTCAGAACTGAAGGCTGAAAATGATGCCATTATACTTTAAAAATCTTGAAATACTAGAGATTCCTGTTTGCCACATAGTTTGGAAAAATGATATTACATTTAATCTACCATACGTTTAAGTTCTTTTACCTGACAGGTTGGCAGTTTTGTCTGGCCATACTTTTTTTTCCTGGCCTTTATAGAAAAGAGGCAAACATGCATTGAAGTACGAGAGTGGCTCATAATGAAAGGAATGAGCTTGATACGTTAAGAAAGAAATTTGAGTTGAAATGAACCACGTGACCTCTGATAAGTCACCTGGACTTGTGCCTTGGTCAGACCCGCTGTTTGTGGGTTTATATGCGCATATGTATTGTACATGGCTCACAATTGTCATTTGAGAGGTTTTGTTTTTGAGAGTTCTGCATAAGAGCAGAACTTAATATTTAGGATTAGAGGAAAGACATTACCAAACATTACTGCTCTTAATTCATGTCCTGTTTCATGTGGCTTAGATATAAATCAGGTCTTCATCCAAAACGTTTATTTGTATTCTCCTTTGCACTAATATTTTTAATAATGAAGCTAAAATTACCGATTTTGCTTAGTGACTTTTCTTTATTTAACTTTACTTGACTAGTCTGGTAGCTTTAAAATAGCTTTGCGTCAGTAAGGACCAAAGTCCCACACAAATATGGACAATATCTAGAATATCTGAAAATTCTTTTTTATTTACTTTGTGTGATATAAAAACATTTTATCTGTTAGTTGCCTTTTCCTTTGATTTATAATGATGAGTTATTGTTTATCTAAAATTTCATAAAACTTGCCAGCAAGTATTTACATAAACATTCAGGTATGCTTATCTTTTAGTTCTTTTTTTTTATCTTTTAATTCTTAAGATAATTAAATGTTTGTTGTGGGTGGGAGGGAGGTAGGGAGCTTAGGTAAAATCTGAATGCAGATTCTATACACATGAAATGTGGATGGAGGGTAGAAGGAAGTCTCTTAGCATGTGATCTTTTTTTTTTATTAAGGAATCATTGACATACAATCTTACAAAGGTTTCATATGAGCAACACTGTAGTGACAACATTCACCCATATTATCAGGTTCCCCCCACACCCCATTGCAGTCATGTCCATGAGTGCAGTGAGATGCTATAGAATCACTACTTGTCTTCTCTGTGCTATACTGCCTTCCCTGTGATGCCCCCACATTATGTGTGCTAATCATAATAGCATGTAATCTCTTCATCAAAGAATTTTCTTTTGACTACTTTAACACTTTATCGCTCAAGTTTTTTATAAATCCTGAATTAATTCCAAGCATTTTATATTTTTTCATATTTACATGCCATGTTACCCTGAAGTTCTTGCTATTTTATTCAATTGCTGTCAAATTTTAGAAAAATTCCAGCTTGTTCTAAAAACTGTTTACTTGCATACCAGTTATGCTTAACTTCGACTGTTAAATTAAAAGCTTAGTTTAAAAATTTTGGTGCATTTTCAGGTGACCTCTTAACTTCCTTGAAGGTTCATATTTATTAGCTAAAATCCTTACTGATGTTGAAATACTTAGCTTCTAATGCATTCTATAAATATGTTTATAGATTTCAGAATAATTGTCTAGAGTGATCCTACTGTTAATGGTGAGAAAAGGATGATGTGTCTAAAACTTATTTTATTACTAAAGTATTAGGTTTTTATAAATAAAAATGTAATGTGATTTAATGAAATCTTAGGATTTAGTTACTAAATTCACCATCTCTGTTTTGATCTTAAGGGCATAACTTGGTTTAATTACCCTGGGAAAGCATTTTTTGTTTTTATTAACTTATTCTGCCTCTGGAAAGTGTTTATAAAGTTTTCTCTGTGAGGATTCTTACAATTTTTCTTTGGCCTCTTTCTCTTTTAACAGTAAATTGATAAGTTTATGCCAGCCTTTTCAGTGAGATGCACTCTTATTGCTGGCCATAAATAGTCTTGGGCAGATTTATAACCAGGTTGAAAAGAATGTCTTTTACCTCTTAACTTCCCCCAGCCTTTAATTTGTGGGTCAGGGACATTAGGACTTTAGACTGTGTTTGCTTAGTTTTTGTTGCTCTGCCACTCATGGCTGGCCTATCCATGCAAGCATGTTTAATTTGCACATTCCTAAGAGTATATGGGGGTACATCCCTATTAACAAATAATAGGTTTTCAAAATTTTCTCTGACAGAATTCATTTCAGGAGAAGTTAAATGTTAAGTTAAAAAGAAAATACTTCCAGTTAGCTTCTTACAGTAAAAATAATAGAGTCAAATTTTGGTTCTTTCATGGAGAAATCTTTCTAGATTGTTTTGTAGACAAAATGAGGGCCAACTATCATGTATGATGACAAAACATCAGAGTCACACCTTATTTTAGCAGCATACCAGGAAATCTGTCCCATGGAGGTTTATGTATTAACACCCTATTTGTACTTGGTAAAATTGCCTGTGAGTATTGTTTTTGCTTTTCTTGTTCATTTTATTGTACTGGAGGTAGAATGCTTTAGGCAAACAAATAAACTGCCTTCTACCGGCAGTGGTTTCTTTAGTAGGTCACACCATGTTTCACCTGGTGGCTTATAAAAAACGATGTCTTGGGTAGGTGAGTTTGGGTGAATATGTATGTATCTATGAGTTAACAGAGAAATTGGGTAGGTAAAGTCTAGGCAGAGGTTATAAAAAAACAGTTCACTTTTTCCTAGAGGTTTTTAAAATTATGTTACATGTGAAAGTCTTCATAGAATTTTTTTCCCCCCATAAAACTATTGAAATGTTATTTAGGATGATTTAGGATGGCCACCGTCTAGCCAGCATGGCTCACAGCATATTGACTTACATTCAGATCTAACAAATTTAGTCAAGGAATAAGGGCATAATGAAGAGAAGCTTCAGTTATGGAAGTACAAACTAAGAGATTTAAAAAATGACATTAAGAAGCCCATTGTAAGAGACCATTCCCAATTGAATACTTTTCCTTCTGTGAAATCATATTGTACCTATGTTTGGGTGTAGTTCTTTCTCATTGCCCTTGGAGTGTGTAAGACTTGTGTGGGATGCTTGTTTTAAAAAATGCAAATTCCCAGCTTTACAACCAGGGGTTGCCTCAGTGTGTCTGGAATAACCACTTTTATTAACAGTATTGCAGGTGGTTCAGAGACCAGGGAGAGAGACTACTTTGAGGAATGGTAAAGTGCAATTCAGTATTGTCTGGAAGCAAGCCTTTTACCTAGACCTCAGAATAGGTGGTCTACTGCCGGGTACAATCACTGAGAATTTACAGTATTCAGAATAATAGGATGCCTTTAATCTAGAGGATCATCTAAATTCCTTAAAGAAGCTGTTCTTCTAAATTAGAATGTCATAGTGCCTTCTCTAAAAATGAATGTACAAGTACCTTATTTACTAACAGGTGTAGTTAGGATTTTTTAAAACCCTATTTTGAAAGTTTTTTTTTTTTTTAAGAAACAAAATTCAACACTGACTTGAGCCTGTTAAGTTTTTTGGGCACAGCAAACCTTAAGCCATAAGTAAAAATAACGAACAAAAAGGAAGGAGAGGATCATAACTTTGAAAATGAGCAAAAAAGGTATCCCATATCAGGAACTTTTCAAAGATATTTTTCTCCCTTGGGAAAGAATTTCACATGTCAGAACTAACATTTAAATAGTGCTTTTATGACCAAGGAAAGGTTCCATCTAATCCCCAACACTTTCCAGTTTAGATAAATAAATGCTTTCATGGACTTAAGCCTTAAAGGATTCATATTAACCTTGAGCATAGACAGATTTTCTTCTCAGATTTTTTTTCTTAAAAAAAAGAAAAAAATGGTTAAAAGTACTTTGTTTTTTCCTAGACCGTTGCCTTTGAATGGCTTAAAATTTAATGTACTTTTTAAAAAGTGCAATGGGATGAGATGCTTTTAGTTTATTAAAAGCATGTTTCTGTTTCTGAGTTGTAAGGTCATTTAATGGAATAAAGATCACAGCACCATGTTATCTGTGTTTTTTTAAATACGGGAAGATCTGTGAAGTAGATTTGGGCACGGCAAAGCAAGTAGGGTGTCTGAGGGGTTGGATAGCTCAGTGTCAAGGGTAGTGCTCATGTGGTTTGAGGGAGTCAGCTTTCTCTGTCCTATAACACGATACTGAACAACACCTTGCCAGCATAGTGCTGGAGAAAGGCTGTGCTGTCCGTGGTGTTGCTTGAAATTGAACAAATTTTGTCTGTAGTAACACAGACTTGTGAGGCCCCTTGAGTTTGTAGCCCTTTGATTTGGTTGCCTTATGAGGAGCATAGTGGTTGGATGGTTCCTCTGGGGTGGAGTGAGGTAAAGCTCTACTGGAAGGGCTTCCCTTTCACTGTGACATTGGGGACATTGGGGAGGTTGCATTGAAGTTCTCAAATAATTACTAATCGTTAGATATGCCCCATTTGCCTTAAAGTAGAAACATTTCTTCCCTAGTTTGAGACATACCCCTGGTGAGGTCATTGGCCTCCATCCCTCCCTCCCTGATGGTGATCATATATCAGATACCATGGCAGGTGTTGCACTTGAGTTCAGTTGAGTAGGAAAGAGGCACTCACAAGGTGATAAAGTACAGTGAAAACGGGTGCTGCCGTCTGAGTGGGCACCCTCAGCACAAGCTGGGGAGCAGGGAAGACCAGGGTGAGGAAAGTCAGCTATGGTTTTTCTTTGGTGCACTGACATTTTTGCCTTTTGATTACCATGTATTGGTTTGCCAAAGATGAGTCCACCTCTAATTAGCTTAATTAAAAAATTGGGGAAAAAGGGAATTGTAAGCGGATATCTAGGAGTAAAGCTGACATCAGGCACTGGAAGAACTCACGTCAGCAGGGCTAACACCTCAAGTACACACTGCCTGCCTGCTCTGCTCTTGTGGATGATTTTCCTTAGTGCTGTTTTAAGGGGCAGTAGAGATGGTTATGTGCACATTTATGCAATGGAAGCTCTTCAGGGCCTTTCAATCAGTATTTGTTCTCCAGTAGGAGGGATTTCTGAGATGGATTCAGGGTGAAGTTACACTTCACCTTCATTTTCTTTCATGAAAGCCTGATTTTTTTCGGTCACACTGTCAGAATTGGTCTGCTCATTAGCCTGGGTAAATGTATAAAAGCCTGTGTTCGGTTGGCTGATGGAGCACCCTTCCCCTGCGGAGTGCTCACGCATTGAGAGTTGCTGGTGAGCAACAGAGACCCTCAAGTTACCACTAGATGCTCCTATGGATTCTGCTGCCTTATATGCGGTTTGCCTGCCAGTATCTGTCCTCCCACCGGGCCCTTTTCCTTCTGTTCTGGCCTTGCTTCTCCCTCACCCACTCACTTGCTCAGAATCCCCACAGCTTGCAGCCTCCCATGGGAGCCATCCTCTTAAGAAGGCAGAGAATGAAGAGATTGTAAATAAACATTGATATCCCATGCCCTGAAGAATGGGGCTCCATAGTTGCATAGTTCTGTTGCATAAAAAAAATGGAGTCTTTGGAGTCAGATATGGGTTTGAGCCCTGCATAGCTGTCAACATGCCCAGAGGTGAGGGACTTGGAATGAGGCTTAAGGACAGGGATGCTGGTGGTGTGGGCATCACTGGGTGGTATCTCAGGCCTGGCACCTTTTTTACAGAGCTCCTCTTCTGAGAGCTGTGTGAAAGGTAAAAATCATGTCGCTGACATCCCTGTCCCTCAGTATGCTTTTTTGTTTATTTTTTCCTGGCACAGCAACAGGAAAAAAAAGGGGGGGAGGTGACATCTGAGCAATTCTGGCAGCAGAGTGTAAGGACAGGCAGAAGTCAGTCTGGTGTCCGCAGAAGTGAACCTCCCCATCCTGGGTTTGGATGCCTTGAAGGTAAGGTAGGCTCTTGCTTACTGCACAATTTGTTGGGTAAGTAGTGAGGCACACAGAGCCCTGGTATTTATACTGCCTCTGACTCTCCTCGTCAGGAAGCTGGTGAGAAACCTGTGGTGTTATGTGCCTTTCCTCATATTAACAGCCAACATGTTCTGAGGGAGGATTTGCCACATGCCAGAGACATCAGGCTCAGCATTTAATAGGCATCATTTATGTGTTGCTCTCCCTTTGAGGAATGTATTTGTCTGTCTTATACATTGTACAGTATCATCATCACTCCATTTTACAGATGAACAAACTGAGGCTTAGAGAGGGACAGTGGCCCTGGATCCTATAGCTAGCAAGTGACAGGGGCAGGATTTGGCCCAACATTCTGATTCCAAGGCTCAGTGCTGGTCGGGAGCAGCCGGAATACAGAATGAACAGGAGCTCTATCTGCTCCGGTGGACCCACAGCCTAGTGTGGAGGAAGGGCCCGTGTGTTGGGGGCATTCATTCATTTGTTAATTCACTCATTCACTCATTCGTGGAATGCCTACGATGAGCCAGGTTTGCGGGTTGTCTGATGGTTTACGACCCAATTGTCAAAATATTTGCTTTCTGTTAGACCCTTGCCTTCAAATGGCTTTAAAATTTAATAGTTTTAACCTCTAAGCTCACCCGCGCGGAGGAGTTAAGTAACTCGATTACACTCCAGTGTAATGTCTATACAAAAGTGGAGTATAATAGGGTATGTGTTTAAATACCGGGCGGGCCCGAGGCCCGAGCGGAGAAGAGGTGGGGAGGAGGCGGCCTGGCGCTGGGTTCCGCGGGCGCTTCCGGCAGGGCCGGCTGGGGAGGGAGCCCTGGTGCGGTGAGCGGGAGGCATCCTGGCCAGGGCCCGGGAGGCCGGGCAGGGAGCTCTGCGAAGCTCTCATCAGCCGGTCGCACGGGAGGGGCCGGTGACCTCACGGTGGCCCGCACGCTACGGCCATTTAATTCGGTCCCTCGGCCCTGGCGGTCACGCTGCTTCCCAAGTCGGCCAGGTGGGTGGCGCGGCACTTTGCGGGACCTCAGGAAGGGCGGCCCCTCGGGGTGGCTCTCGGGGCCCCAGGGCCCGTGGGAGACGAAGATGCTGGGCAGCGCGGGAGTAAATAAGCCGGGGCGCGGCCGGCCCGCAGCCGCCGCCTCCTGGCATCCGACTCCGCTACACCGACCGCGCTCCCCGCCCGGCGCGCCAGCTCTTCGGGGTCGGAGGAGCCTCCCCGCCCGCTCCGGGGATTCGTGCGATCGCCGCCGGGCGCGGGGCAGGGAGCGCCCCGCGAGGAGCCCTCAGGGGCGATGGTTGTTCCTGGGGGGCTGGGAGGCGACCCGCGCCGGCTCCCCCGCCGGAAGCCACCGTCCCCCGGGGGCTTGGGCTCCCCGGTCCCCGTTGCTGACAGCTGCCCCCTTACTACCCCTGCCTCAGGCATTTACGCAGCTGAAAAGGCGAACTCCAGCCTGAAACTGAGCGTCCACACCGCGGAAGATGCACGCGTCCCTTGTAAGTGAGGGGCGGGCGAGGGCTGGGTGCTGTTTAATGGTGACGTATCCCGGGGCCTGAGTTGTCACTTCAGAGAGGTCCCTCGAGGATGCTGGCCACCCCTCCGTCAGCCGCCGGGCATCAGGCGCCAGACGCGGGGCAGCAGGCACAAACTCGAGTTGTCTCTCTACTTGCACTTGCGTGGGGGCCGCCCCGCCCGAGACAGGTCCGGGGAGAGGCAGGACCCGCAGGAGAAGGGAGGCAGCAAGGTGCGACTTGCTGCGCAAACCCCTGGGCTGCCTTCCTGGGACCCGCCAGACCACCGGGCCGGGCTCCTAGGCCGAGGGTCGGGGCTGGACCTGCTGCCCCAGGCCCCTCCTGGGTCTGACCACAGCGGCCTCCCCTGGTCTCCGCTGACGCACCTCTTGACGGGCCCTGCCAGCAGTTCCAGCGCTCACTTTCTCTTTTTCTAACCTGTGATGTGGCTCAGAAATCAGAAGGGGCTTAGCAGATGCATCCTTTCAGCCTAGCAGGACCAGCTGCAGAGAGGTTCAGAGAACCTGGGATTTGCTCCCACTGTGCGCCTGGATGTGGTACACCTGTGCTTGGCATTGTTCTGAGCACTTCATAAATTTCCAATCCACTCTTTTCCCAGACTGAAGATTATATGACTCAACACTATGAAATGCTCAGAATAGTGCTTCCCGTATTTGTTGAGTACTCTACTGTAACTTATTATTATTATTACTACTACTACTACTACTACTACTATTATTATTATTTCAATCCAGGAGAGCTTCACTCAGTGCCTGGCATTAGGATGTACCTGGCATATCTGATGCCTGGAGTGCTCATTTCTAAACATCCCTCTCCTTTCTCTAACAACACCATTTTCAATAATAATCATGAAATGAATAGTAATGTCCAGAAAAGAAACACAGTGAAAAATTTTCCTTCATTGAGCTTTGTGTATAAATCATGCCAGTGAAAAAATAAAAAATGAAAGATAAAATGTTACAGAGAAAAATAGAAAAAGTTGACATTTTTTAATTGCATTAATGTACTTTTGAAAAAGACTTATTCTTACAGGTTGATCATAGTAATGGATAATAATAACTTTACAGTTTCTGTTTTGGAGCATCTGAAAAATTATCCACGATCGTGTTAAAATTGATCTTTGCATATATATGTTCAGTGTTTAGTAGAGCTGTTTGTCAATCCATCTTGGCCCACAGTTGAAGAACGGTTTTTTAATTAATTTTAATTTCAAAAGCTTCCCTTGTACTCATCAACAAATATACAAAAGCATCTCTCACATTAAACAGCAGATAACCAAGCCTTAAACATTATAAGTTTGTTAGAGATTCATAAAAATATCATTTCATAATAAATTCCAGAAGTTGCAGTATTGCCTATGCTTAAAAAAAATTATAGCAGTTTTTAAGCAGTTCCACATTTGAAACATTTTCAGAAAATTCATAAGTTTTTATCTTACTTGACAAAATTCTCCCAACTGTTATTTCCTTTGGCAAAAATCAGAGAAAATGGACGATGATGGTGAGCATTGACATTTATTTGATCCATCGCTTTAGAATGAGAGTCTAGTTGTTGAAAAAGACCCAGGCTTTCA